TGTGTGTGTGTCTGTGTGTGTGTGTCTGTGTGTGTGTCTGTGTGTGTAGGGGAAGCTGAGAAGTTGTCAGAGAAAGAATTTGTGCTATTTCTTCACGGGCGTCCCCAGCAAGTCTAAACTCAAGCCTCTGTAATTCAATCCAGAGTCTCCGAAAGCAGAGTTCGGTTTTGTTTTGCTTTCGGGTATAACAGCACCAAGCAGAGTTTTACGAGCTGCTATCTCAGTACAAGTTGTTGACGTAATCTATAACCAAAGGGGAACCTCTTTGCAAAGGAACTGACCAGAACCCCTCCCTCCACCTGTCCTCCCCGATCTCGGCAATTGAGAGGCAGTGGAAGAGTTAGTGCAGAGCGGCTGGGTAGGGAGTTGGCAGGTACATATTAACTTCGCCTCGGCTTGGTGAAGCCCCCGTGGGATCGCCTTTGAGTCTGCCCCAGCTGGTTCAAACCATCTTTATGATTTCCAGACTGCGTCTAAGATGTGGGAGAGAGAGAGAGAGAGAGAAGGAACTGGTTAGATATGGGGATAGGGGAAGAGTGGATAGTGATTTACGAGCAGAGATCGAGGCTACATCAGACTGGAACTGGGGAGGGTCTATTCAGAGGTCTCTGTGTCCCTCCAACACTTCAGCTGTCGGTAGAAATTAAACTCTATACTGGTTGCCCTACGGCTCGGTACCCTCCTTAGGAACGCTTTAAGGGAAAGCAGAAAGGGGGTCGTAGGTTGGTTTGCAAATTGCTCAGCGCTGAGAGACAGGCAGGTTTGCAAACGAGCTTTTTAATTCCATAGAAAATCCGGGAGACAATATAAAATCTCACTTCCCAATGACAGATAACTGCAGATAGCAGCCTGGATGGGCGGAATAGCCTTCTGTCAGCTTTCCCTCTGTCTGCCAGCCTGCCTCCACACGCAGGTTCACTTGTTCTGTTCTCAGAGCTGGGACATCCCCACAAAACTGTGAGGAAGGGAAGGAGATGGCTCAAAACTGAACCACCCCCAGCGCCCAATAATTCTCCGTGTCCGAAACTTCAAGGAATTTGAGTCAAAGCCAATCGATGAATAATAATAAAAAGGGAGAAAACAGTGGGAGATAATAAGAGCTGCAGATGTTGGAGTCATGGTAATACAGTGTGGAGCTGGAGGAACACAGCAGGCCAGGCAGCATTGTCGACTTTCCTGCTCCTCTGATGCTGCCCGACCTGCAGTGTTGCTCCAGCTCCACACTGGGTAGAGAAATCAGTGGATACGAGCTTCCCACAATGTCACACATGATCCAATCCGCAAGACCGCCTCGATGTTAGACACTTTTTTCAGCCTTCAGAATTCAGAGCAAGGGCTTGAGTAATATTGAGTGTACAACGATACAAAAAAAAATTGTTTGAAAACAAAACTTCACGCATCTTTCTTTCTCAGGGAAAACTCCATCATTATCTCTTCCGTGGACATGAGCACCCAAAATCAGGCCTGGCACAGCCACTGGGGGCGGTATATACCGCTCCTTGAGTTTTCCACTTACACTGTCCTGACGGAGATCGTTTGGCCCATCGTACTAGTGAGGGCCGCACAATTAGTCCCCCAGTTTTCAATTTTTCTTCCCTCCCCAATCAGTTCTCTTTCAACCGGATCGTCCGAAATCTCAACTGCTGGGCAAAAAAACAAAATCATTTCTTCCTGTGTGGATTATCTCGGACCTTTACAGCCTTAGCTAATGCCCCATTTCCGAATGGGATTTTGGGCCATCAGAGGTGGATGAGATGGTTACTGTTTACTCTGGATTTACCATTCAGTCCACTGTTGCTCTGGAATGTCTGTATTAACCATCGAAAATCTCTTTATAGGTTACTGTCTGTTGTCCTTAGTCTCTCATATCTGCCTGGGAAGGCTGATTTCCCAGTTGAAAGTTTTGGAAATTTTGTGATATGACAGATTTCGTTCACCAGTTCCCCTCCCCCCACCCCCGCCACACACACAGACACACTCAAATATACACAGACACACACATACACAGACACGCACAAATATACACAGACACACACATATACGCAGACACACACAAACATACACAGACATACAAACGCAGACACACACAAACATACACAGACACACAAACACAGACACACACACATACACAAACATACACAGACACACACACATAGACACACACACACACAAACATACACAGACACACACACACATACACGCACTTACATCCCAGTC